TTCGTCACTTTCTTATTTCACTCTCAGGGTTCCATCTTTATGATTCTTCCTTGTTTTTTTCCACTACCCCTTTTTCTTATCCCCCCTTTTACTTCTATATGGTTACAACCCACCCTCCCCTATCATTCTACTTTCTTTTTATTTAGCACATTCACCATATGCACCCGTCCCCTTACATGTTTTTCTATACATAATGTTCTAGCTATTTTCTCTGCTTCTTGTGGTTGTGGTATTATTCACATCCATATATTATTTTATCTGTTATCGATATGTTACTTGTCTATATTTATATTATCCCTCTTTATTATATCTTTGTTGATGAGCCTTTCAATTTTCATGACCATCCTAGACAGTCAAATGTTTTTTTGTAGTGGCTGCCTTTTACGATTATTCTTTTATAGTTTTTTTATAAAGGGTAAGGGCAGATGTAGATTATAGTTACGAGACATACATAAATTAGTAGGTAATAATGAAAAAAGGGGGAATAAAAAAAGCGTGTATTGTAAGAAGGTCTCGTAGGAAAGGAGCCCAAATATCGTAACCTAGGTGGCTTACTCAAGGACTCTATACTTTAAGGACAAGAGGAATCTGCCCTACAGGAACATAAATGAGTGGGATAGCTAAAAAGGGGGGACAAAAGATAAAAAGGAGAGATAACAAATGGAAGAAGGGAGAAAGGGACGGGAGTAAGATGGGGAGACAAAAAGGGGGAATGGGTTTGTAAAAAGGTCATAAACTGTAATGACTCAACTTAGAACAGACAGATAAGGTGAAAGACTACAATTTGACAAAATAAATAGGTGGCTATCGCCTTTAAAAAAAGACAAACCAACTTATCCCCGATACAAAGGATCACTACCTAATAGGGAAAGCACAAAGGATCCAAGCCTACAAGATCTACAAAGGTGATTCAAAGGGGATGATAATATAAAATTAGCTAAATGATTGTGATGCAAGGGTCTTAAACCTGCAGATAAACTTAAATATCAAATAGGAAAATTAGAAGGTGTATGATTATCTGAGTAATAAGAAAAATATGGTTAAAAAGTAAAACTTTAACATGGTTTTAGTTTAAATATAAAAAATGTATTTAGTAAATAAATGAAAAGTAAAAAAGACTGAGAGTGAAAAAAATGGTAACTATTATTCAATAGAGAATATGGAAGATTAGGCTTAATAAGTTTTTATACAGAATAAGTAATGAATAATTGAAAGAGATAAAGAATTATTTAGCTAAAGTAAGAATGATAAAAAGAAGAGAGTCAACCTTTATAGGTGAGCTAATATTATAGGAGTAAAGGATACAATTAAAGTTTATGATCGTCATTATCGTTAAAGGCCTTAAATCTACTACAATTGTTAAAATATCATCATAAGTCCTAGCCTATGTATAAAAATGTAAAAAGAAAAAACAATATAAAAACAGAGAGAGGAATATAACCTGATCACATAATAGGTAAGGGTATAGGAAGAATGAAAAAGGAAGTCGGAGCATATAGATTATTAGACCTAAATAATATATTACACTGATAAACTGCGTTTAATTAATCTAGTGGTTTAAATGCTAATAAATGGATAACCGATATAAAAATAAGAAATATTACCTTAGTAAAAATAAAATTTAACTTAAGTGAGAATATCAAGAGAATAAGACTAAGATTCAAGGGAGACAAAGTTTAGAGGAGGTGTATAAAAAAGAGGAAAAGGAGACAAAGAGGTGAGAGATAGAGAAAGTAAGCCTGTAAGAATAGAAATGGATCCTAATAAAGTCTACTAACCTAGTAGACATCTAAGACTTGTTGAGCTTTATCATAGACTAGTCCAGTAAACAGACTTTATAAGTTATTCATCCTCGTCCCATTTTAGGTCTTATTACCGATTCTATCCCGATTTTATACTTTATATCCAGACTCACATCTTTCACCTCAATCTATGAGTCCTCTCTTTCCTCCTCTCCCAGTCTATTGTTCTCTTTACCATGCTTCCTAATTATTGTACATTTTCTTGTCGCAGATTTTATTATACGTGTATTCCTTTCCCCGCTTGTGGCCTTGGGTCTTGGGCCCTTCATTACTCTAAATATCTCAAAGTATTGGATTTAAGTATACTAAATATTACTACAAAGGTAATGGGGAGGGTAAACAAAAAGTTACCACAGAACAAAGTATGGTAATCATAAAGATTATCTATCACACTCTTTATAGTTCAAATCCTCACCTACGGGATTGTCCTCTCCTATAAATCCATAAATGAGCTAGGGATCCTATATATAATAAATAACCGAGAATTGAATAAACAAGGGATCAGAGATAGAAAGGCTACAAAGAGAAAAGCCAATAATGGAGAAAAACGAGGGTGTATAAAAAAACTATAAGTGTTTCCTTTAACCCCTAAAATGTGAGTGGGATGGCGAATAAATCAATAAAGGGATGAGAAGTATAAGATTCGAACTTATAGTATTTTGACTTACAATCAAATGGTCTACCAATTGGCCAAACTTCTCTGATATCGAAAATGGATAAGGTTTGGGGAGGCCATACAAATAGGAGGACGAGGTCAGGATGGTTCCAAGTTATTGGAATTAAACCAATAGTCGTCAACTTAGAAGGTTGACGCATTATCATTATGCTAAACTTGGGTGAGGAGGTTCTAGCCAGATGCAGTAGGGATATAAAAGATAATTAGGAAGGTTTCTGTAAAAAGACTATAACGATAGGTCTAAAAGACTATTAGAAAGTGAAGAAAAGAGTCTAAAGACTAGATGAATGGAAGGTCTTTATGAATTGGGCATAGATCTGTTTTATAAATACGTCGACTCCCTCAACTTACCTCACCCATAAATGGGAGTCTTATCAGCGAGTAGGTCTTGTATATGATGCTCTGGGGAGTACCTTGACCAAGCAGGGGTTAATAAAAGATCGACAAATCTGCTAAGACTGTATAGAGAAGAGGGGTAGGAAGGGATGACGAATCTTGATTCAAAACAAGCCAATATGAAGATAAGGGGGGATAGGGGTCCTCTGAGGGGATTAGTCATACAAATTTATGTTTATTATGCTAAGTCTGCAAATTGGTTAAGACTGGTAGTGATTTCCTTTGGCATATTCATTAGGGTCTCCTCCATTCTCACCCGCTATAGAGTCCCCTTTAGCCCAGTGTCTATTGTCCAAGTTGAATTAGTCCTCTGATTGATTATTGGATTTAACTTTCTTATTCACCCCGTCTTTATTATTTTCTACTCTCCTCTCTTTATTATTAGAGCTTTTCTTATTTTTGTTACTAGTCTTTATAGGCTACCTTTTTCTTTTGCTGTTTCACTAGTCTAGTCATCCTTTGTATGATCTGTTCTATATTTTTATGTGTATCCTATAAATTATGTCCTCGCTTTTATCAAATAGAGAACTGTTTAGAATATTGAGGAGATAGTGCGTATCAGTTTAAAGTATAGTAGGATGAATTTCACTAGTTGATACTTTCTTCTAATTATTACTACAAGGTCGTCTCCGTATCTAACTACATGCGTACCAAGTCCATTACTTCTGAAAGTCCCTTTTATTTTACTTGATCTTTTTTTAAAGGTAGGGAACCTGCCGACTACCCAGAAAGGGGAACTAAGTACCAAATCAACGAGGGGAAAAGGAATGCTACGATAGACGACAAAACGAAGGGAAGCGACGGGATAAGGGATAAGAGAAAGGGAAGGAGGGGCTCAAATAGTAATGGTCGTAATCCTAGTTCAAACACTCCCTTTATACTTGCTTCAAATAATCTGATTCCTTGCCTGTAACGATTGTCTTCTCACTGGCTTATTACGCCTTTTAATCCGGATGACTCCCAAAATCGACTCAGTAAACTTGTCGAGGTCGTCTTTACAAACAATAAGTAAATAGGGTATGATTTGTCTATATATCAAATAGTATAAATTTGGTTAAGCTTGCTGTCGTATAAACTTTTATTCAATTGGGTAGGGAGCCAATATAGCGAGGGAAGAATTGGGTAGAAAAAGCGTCATGAAAGAGGCTAGAGGGAGGGGACCAAGAGGGAAGGGGAAAAGATCAAGGGAAAGGAGGAAAAAGAGAAAAGATAAACGAAAGTGAATAGGGTAGAAGAGAAAGGGTGAAAGAAGGATAACAATATAAAGATGAGTACACAAGTAAGGACCAGATAATAAACGATTGGAAAAAGGGGAGTCTTCTTGCCTCTCTTTGGTTTTCATTAGGGAGATCTTTGGCCCTTCTCACTCTTATCTTATTTTCTTTCCCCTTTTTATACAAACACAGTAGACCTTTCACTTTTTTGATCTTTACATACAAAATGGTCTCCTTTGTCCATTCTCCTTTCTTTCTTATTCCCACCTATTCCTCTTACAAATTATAAAATATACCTATTTTTTTGTAATGTTTTATTCTTGGCGATCTTTATCTTTTCTTCGTCAATGTCCCTCGCATTATATCCCTATGATTATCTTTCTCCCTTTCTCTTTTTCATTTTATCCCCTCCTCCCCCTCTTCTTCCTTGATCCCTGTAGCCTCTTCTTTTTACTCTTTTTTCAAACCTTTTACCCATTTGTCGCTTGTTCTATCTTCCCTTTCATTACGACCTTTCCTTATTCTTCGGATTGTTGCCCCCCTTCCCCTCCTTATCCCCATTCCTTTTTCAAGTTCCAATAGTTGCATACGGTACTCTTCCTCGAGTGTACATATCTCTCACAAATTAGTTTCTCGATCCCTTTCCCCCTTACCCTTGTTGGATTCATTCTTTTGTTCCTTGTTTCAATATTTCCCTTTTCCCTCATTTCTTATTCAAACTAAAGGGATAGTAAATCTGATCATCGTGTTGACAAAGAAGGAGGGATAAATAGTTATCTAAATAGTTCTATAATAAGAAGGTTAATAGATTCTTTGGATTGTAAGTTGGGGAGGTATCACTAATATGTAATTCAAGAATGATACTTGCAGGGTATGATAAATAGTAAACCAATAGCGGTAAAAGGGGCTTACCTATTCTTCGTCTTAGCAGAATTGATATTCTAGACTTAGAAATATAATTGTACCGAACCTAGAAAGAAAGGTTTTCACCTGTGAATGAGGGGAATAATGATAGTTGGGTAACTGTGAGGGTGATGTAACAGAGAATAGCCCCCAATCAATAGGGAATAGATCACCGTAGGTAACTATAAATAATAGCCAAGAGTGAACAATAAATGTAGGAAATAGGAAAATAAGAAAGTGTGTGAAGAAATCTCTCTAGGGATTTGTACTTTTATGAAGAGGTAGTTTGGAGAATTTGTAAACCTTACGTCTAATTACCGGGTCTACCCCCTATTTTACTGTTTTATGCTCCCACGTGAAGAGTTTACCTATAAACTAAGCCTGGACTGATTTTCATAAACCGTAGAATGACTATATTCAATAGAATAATCTATGCTGGGATAAAGGAAACTGGATCTAGGAGGAACAAGGAAAGTAAGTAGGATGGGATGAGGATCATAAGGGGGATCGGGAAGGAGGATAATAAAAGAGTGGTGAGGGTTGGGAACTCAAGAGAATCACAATCCTTGTAAGGGACAATATTCAGGAATGCGGGTAACATCCTCTTTAGTTGAAGGGAAATAATAGTATAGTAGACTGATATCATATATTTGTGAGTAAATATAAGAGATTCGATAAATCAATAAAGTAATAGTCACTATAATATGGTAAAAATTTAACTTTATTCTTCTACTATATAATAACTATAAACAATAAATAATATTTTACTATAAATTGTAAATTGGCAACAATCTATAAAAAAACGATAAAATCTTAGTATGTATATAGAAAGACTAAATAGATTTAGAATCCGCTAATAATAGGTTGGTATTGAATGATATTGAAAGGCATTTTAGAAATTTAGAATGACTTAACTGATCTGATGTTAAGGGATAATTATAACTAAACTTATTATAAATAAAAATTATTTTAAAACGCATCTGAGAAATATAAAAAAGTAGGGATAAAACCTACTAGCATCTATGATGCTTATCTTATCAAAAATTTCACCTTCTAAGTAATGAAAATAAGAATTGACAGTACTTATTAGATTAAAAATCATATACCTAAATAATAAGAGGATAATTAAGATTAATATTAGATTAGCGTACTAGGAATAGATTGAATTAATAGAATTATATTTGGTGTTATCTATTAGTTATAATTATCTTAATTTATATCTGCCATATTCTTATTGATCTCTATCATGTAGTAAAGTTAGCCCTACCCATCAAACCATCCTCTCCTTTTACTCTTTTCTATTCTCTTATTTTCTTTCATACTCCTTTTTTATATTCTGAGTTTTCTAGTGATTATGATTATCTTCTTGTTTTTTTATTATCTTCGAGTTTTCTCTTTGGATAAGACATTTTTCCTAGTTCTTATTCAATCGATTTAAATTAGTATTCATGTTTATTTTCTTCCTTCAACTCATTCAATTGATTTATTCTATGATATTGTTGAAAATAGTTGATTATTCAGCTACTTATTCAGATAGTGAGGATATCCCCTTCTCATCTTTTCTATAATTATTTATACTACGTTTTATTAGGATTCTTTTTCTGTTATGATTTATTGTGGTACTTATGCCTCTTTCTTATTCTTTTATTATTTTTTATACCTTTTTCTTTATATAGACTCATTTAAGTTAAATTTCATCCCCTTTTTTTTTATAAAAATCTCTCTTTTTTAACCCCTACTATCTACTTCACTTACAATCTTTAATTGGTTAACTCCTTAGATATCTTTGTTACTATTTTCCCCTACCCTTTAAACCCTAATCTTTCTTGTACTTCTTTTTATTCCCTAGTTATTGCTCTACTTTTCCCTATTCGTCCCCTATCCCTTGATTGTCGATTATTGATCAAATTATATCGTTCGTTAATTAAAATATTTTAACCGTAAGCCTATAGAAAAGATTGGATATAAAAAAGGGGAATAAAAAAATACAAGGTACAGTACTATGATAAGATAGAGGTCTATAAGAATAGTAAGTAGGTTTTGTAGCAGGAGTAATAAGCTAGGACTTATTTTACACTTTATTAGACTTTTAGTCATTACCCCAATTTGAGATCCCCTATTTATCATTAACGTCGATTAGCAAACAGTAAACTTGTACAAACTTCATACAATTTTTATCACAAATCTTTATTTATGCCCTTCCTAGACGTGTTTTTGTTTTCTTCACATATCTTTCATCCTTTTGAAGGCCAATGACGGCTTAAACTTTAGTTGATTTATCTATAAATTACCTTTCTAATAGGTTATTGTGGTTATCACTTTTATATAAGGGGGTTGTCACCCTTTTATATGTGGACACAATTGTAGTAGAAAAATTGAACTAAGAAAACTTAGACCACCAAGGGAAAAGATAAAACTTAGATTATCAGTGGGATAAAAGAAAAAGGAAGAAAGGGAAGAAGCGTATAATAAACTATAAGAGCTCATAAACCTAAGTGATAGTTTGGTGATT